GAGGCCCCAGGAGCAACAGCACTGCTGTCTGCCGTGGGTGGGGAGCACTGGCACCGCCAGCATCGCCGGGAAAGCAAAGCGCTCCGGCTAGTTTTGTCCCAGACCGAAAAAAAAATCCCCCCAGAGGTGCTTTTCCTTGTGTTTATAAAAGATTTCTATTTATTTCCTGTTTATTTTTTTTTTTCCCTCCCCTGATGTATAAATACGCCCAGCAGGAAGGCAGCATTCCCAGGGGCAGGCAGGCAGGCGACCCACCGCCCTCCCTCGCCTTCGCTCTACCTCCCGTGGAAGCCTGTCCTGCCCTTTTGAGCCACTGGTCAGGTTTCTCGTTCGCCACCTTCACCCAGCCCCCGAGTTTGCTGCTTCCCGCCGCCCCCCGCGGAGCAGAGCAACCGCAGGGCTTAGACAGCTCTGCGCAGGAGCCGATGGAGTGGGCAACGGAGGAGAGGGGAGCGAGAGGAGAGAGAGCAGAGAGGAGAGCGAGCGAGAGAGAGGAGCACGAGAGGAGCGCGAGGAGCAAATCCTCCCTTAAGCTTCAAATTCAAACTCGAAGTACTGGGGATCGAAGTAATGGATGCGAACGTAGCCATCCTCACCCCCGCTGCTGTAACTGTACGGGAGGAAAGACAAGATCAGGTCACCGGTGCCGTCAGGAGCTCACTGCCTCTAGGTTTACACCAAAGAGCCGTGAGGTCTGTTCTCACAACCCCCTCCAGAAACTAATAAAGGAATCACGAGGCAAAAATAGGTCAGTGACGCAGCCAAAATGTGCAACGGGGCATGAGCGAACCCCCCGGCCAGCCTGGGGGGGAGGCAGCAGGGCTGGAATGGGAGAATTAAGGAAGGTGCTGGCCCCACTCCCACTGCAGAGCTCCTGTGAGCCCAGCCACACCCCAACCAAAAGGAGGGCTTGGCTTGAGCGGGGCACGCCGCCAGGCCCACAGAGATCCTCACCTCTTCCCATCGGGGTGAAAAGCAACGCTATTTATTGGACCGAAGTGACCCTTCACTCTGCCAAACTCTTCTTCAAAAGCCAAGTGGAAGAACCTGGGAGAAGGAAGAAGATTTTAAATGATCACCAGGAGTCAGGAGCCTGGTTAGGGACACAATCAGGGTTTCCTCACAAAAGGGATGAAGTTTAACGGCTCCTCCGACACTGCCAGGAGCAAGATGCTCTGGGAGCAACACCCCTGGGCTGTCATGAGGACTCCAGGTGAGGACTCAGCCTTGCCAGAGGAAAAGCACCGACCTGGCCTCAAATTTGCCAATCCTGGTGGAGGTCGTGGTCACATCCATGGCCTCTTGCCCACCACCAAGCACGACCTGCAAAGGAAAGAAGCCACAACACGTCGGGG